GTGGCCGCGCTGCGGAGGGTCCCGCCGCCGCGCGCAGCGCTCCGTCTCCCCGCGGCCCCGCTTCACACAAAGGAGGCGTGTGTTCCGGCAAAGTAGGTGCCCCGCGAAGAGTGGAGACGATGTGAGAACATTCCCAGCAGTCGTGGGTTTGTAGGTCGAGATAAACCCTACCCCCTCGGCTCCCCGACATTTGTAAAAGCCACTTCAGGATACGGTTAACATCTCTAAATGCCCGAATTAAACAAAAAGCCGCATTGTGTATTTCGGCGTTGAAAGCAGAGGTTTTGCAACGCGATGCTCTGTATAATGTAGATGTATTTGTGTTATTTCTAGCATTTTTGCTTGTGCATAATCCCTTATGCCTTTTATTATAATCCTACACATTACAGTTAATCTGTAATGATACTGCTTCAGAGGGACCTGTTGCACACAGCGATGGTAATTTGTAACCTTGGTAACAGTTTTAAATAAAGATTATAACAATGATGTCAACTGTTTTTATTCACCATACCGTAAATGGGGTCTCAATATTATTATGCCTGTAGAGGACAGAGTTTAAGAAACAGTTATGAGTCTCCACTTACTACAGTGCGAGCTATCACTTTGCACCTCATCCTTAGTAAACATGATCATGGTTCTAAATAGTATAAAGATTTTCCAACTGCTGAGGACTCTGTAAACTTTAATTTTCTGAATGAGGGGGATATTATTATGAATTAGGGTTATCAGGATCCAAGTACCCTTACCAAGAACATTTTAGTCTTCCAGAGAAATACCTCAGAGTAAGTACTACTTAGAAACCCTAATGAATAATGCTAACACTGACTCTACCATTAGCCTTGTGCACAAGCTCTCCCCTCTATTAAAGCTTACAGAAAAAGCTCACAAGCTGAAAGCAAAATTAAATGTAATTGCTTTTATTTACCTATTGCTTTTATATCATTAAAATATTTTTAGTTACCTTTATTAAACAGCATCCACTTCGATTATTACCTGCCATATCTATTAATCCATTTTCATGGATTAACTACACCACCATTAGATATCATGTATATATACACACAGATATATTACATACATTGTCTTTGCCAAGATACGTTTTAGTTCTCATCGACAAAAATATTCTTGTGGAAGATTCTACGAAGCATGTTTTTCATGCACACATTAATAATCACAGTGGTCAAGGATTAGATATGCACAGATTGCAAATGGGAAGAATATATTAGATGCAAAATGAAATATACAGTAGAATTGAAGCATAACTCTTTTTCCTCCTTAAAATAAAAAATTTACAGAGTGAAAAACTGAGCTATTAAGCTTACTTAAAAGAATGCTTTGTTGGTTTAATTATACTGTAGTTATTTTATAAATATGTTTCAAAGGAAGCTTGCCATATTGAATGTCAATGAAGGCTGTAAAGAAAAGACTTACAAAAGCTAATGCATACCAAATACCAAATTTTAGTCATTAGCATTCCTATTTATTACAAACTAAAGGAACCTATTAACAGACAAGAATTTCTATTTAGCTAGTGTTACAATGTTTAGCCATTAAAATAAAAACGGACAAAAATTGACCCCCGCCCCACTTAGAACTATATTTTCTTTTTACTGAGAAAGACAGATGTATCAAAACCCCCTGATAACAGAAACTATGATTCTTCATTATTACTGGCTGTACCAAATCCTGTACCGCTTTATTCAGGCAAAAATTTCTACTTTTTCCAAAGGACAAGATCTGTCTGATTAAGAGCTTTAGGTATTTGGCACCTACCTTAATAGCTGCATTTGAGGGACTTTCAGTGATGGGGAAGCGTAGATTGGCTTCGAGCTGGAGCAGGCCTACAGGGTCAAGCCTGGAGGCTGTCGGGCCTGATCCAACGTCATTAGGCACTTCTCTGTTGCATTCAGTAGTTTAGATCAAGTCTGGGGTGTGGATAGCAGCTTTCGTGCTTAAGATGGAGGAAGGAAGGACTAAACCATTCATTAGGTTAGGCAGGCTGCTAACCAGAAGTTTCTTTTCAGCGCTTGTCACAAAATCAGCATATTTATTCATGTGATGCCTATTTGCTCAAGATTTCCTTTAAAACTTCTTGGCCAAGTATTTCTACTTTTCAAATACCCTTTAAGAAACTGTATTTTTTGTCTTTTTTGAAGACAAATGTGTGGATATGTAATACATTTCAGAGTTTCTAAAGGATGTTGAGCATATCATTACGTAACACATAGTACGTTTCACATATAAAAGGTAAACAAGCTTTCTTGTGTTTTTCACTAACTGCATACTCTTATGCAAAAGGACAAACTTTTGGGGACACTGATATTTGTGAGGTAACAAACTGATAGATCTTTTCCTCTTTGTTGCATTCGACATGGTCCTTGCCTTCTCAGCTTGCGAGCATCACTCCTTGAGACTCTGTTGTATCTATTCAAATTGACAGAGAAATTCAAAACAAGACCAAAGAAGCAGCACAACTGCTACAGAGCTTCTGGATGACGGATGCTGTCAAATGCCTGTTCTGCCTCAAAGATTATTTCAGTTTTCAAAGAATTGGGGGGAGGGGGGCAGGGAGCGGTTCAGGAAAGTTCAACCCATCCGTTTAATCTTTGCTTTCTGATTTTCATTGTTCATTTCTAAAACAGGCTTTAGATTTAATTTAACGAAGGGTTCAGTTTGGCTAATGAGGATCACTTTGGATTTTGATTTTGCAAGAACAGAGTGAAGACTCGTACAAAGAAAATTCACTGTATAAACATCCTGCCCAAGAAAGGAAGGTTCGCCCTTACTCCATCTGCAGGATCTGTAAGTACAAGAAATTTGTTCTCTTCAAAGATTTAAACTCCCAGGCTTTAGGATGCTGTTGTAGGGTTGGTTGTTTATAGCTTTTACATGAACATATGGTGAGAAGTTTGACTGAAATGCCTCTACAGTCAGTGTATCTTAGCATGTATGAAATATTTTCAATAAAGGAGTTCCTGTATGACCCCATTTATGTGATCCATGTTGCTGCTTTTCACTAATGAAAACAAAACTGATCTGAAATTTGCATGAGTGTGGTGTCTGGGGGTAACAGTCTCATGAAATCAAAATGATGCAGGCTGTCTCTGATTTTGCTAAGATAAATTAGAATTCGGGAGGAGGAATCTTATGGAAAATTAAATATAAAAGCAGTCAGAGTTTATGAAATGTTAAGAACTCCTACTTTTCCTTGGAGATATTTTCTGAGTCAAAGATCTTCACTTCTGTTTATTATCAATGAGGAGTAGTTCAAGAGGCTGCAAACAGACAGCCCAGATTAAAATAAGCCTGAAGGAATCTTGATGTTGTCTCTCAAGTATTGTAACTTTCACAAGGAGAGCCTTTTCCAGGTCAACGTGTCTATAAACCAAAATAGAGTTGATCCATAGATCTACAAATCAGATGCTGCTGGAAAGATAGGAGACATCTTGCAGGTCTTTCGCTTACACTTAGATGGCATCCTAGATAGCTACCATTAGAAGTTTTTCAGCAGAAAAGCTTTCATTTGCAACGTTTCTGCCTACCAAACCCAAATTGATTTAACTCTAAGCCCTGTTGCTAGAGCAGAAAATATATTTAAAGGAGAAATGGTAATAATACAGTAGTTCTGATAACGAAGTTCAGACAAAAAAAGAGCAGCCCCATGGAAGAAAAAACGGTGTGATGAATCACTCCTTTGTTCAAACTGTCCTTTTAATACAAAGCAGAACACAAGTGTTTCAACAAAAATGCTTGAATTGTTGCATTCTCAGCAATGCTTTCTCTTTTCTCTTTTAAACCATCCATAGTCCTTTGTAGCCATATACAGTATGAGACAGAGCAATTTGGAAAAGATTCATCTATCAAGTTTAACAACTTTCTGGTGTAACTTCAGAGAGGTTTATTGCTTATTCATGTGGAAGTGAGTACACCCAACTTGTTTTGCCTGGTTTTGCTACTTTTGCCGGTTTGCAAGGCTGTTCTGGTAGCTGCATATGGCTTCTCAAGTGACATTTGCTGACATTCAGTGGTGTATATTTATCAGTATTCTTCACCTCACTTCTATACGTGTAATCTATTTTATTTTGTTCTTCATAGCAACCTCCTTTTCACTGTCCATGCCCTGAAAATGATAAATGGCAAAGTGGCGTATTTCCCTAGCTGCACTAAAATGTCACTGTGAAAAATCTTTAATGGACTAAGTGTGGCTTTTCAGGTTATAACTTGTCAAGTTACAGAGAAATTCTAGAGTTTCTCCTTAATCCACCATTCTTTGGAACCACACCACTGCAGGCAGAAACTAATTATAAGTTACACCAGTCAGAGTAGGAGAAAAATAAATGAAGTAGAAGCCATTTGATCAAGACTCATTTTATACTTGCTTTCTGTGCTTGTGCCAGTTTACCTGATTTCCTCTGTTTAGGTTAATGCTGAATGTGCCTTACTGTTTATGGATACTGAATACACGTGTGTGCTGAGATCTATGTTATTTTAAAGACTTTGCTTATCGCTGTAGCACTGAATATATTTATACTACTCCTACGTCTGGCGGTGCCAAGAGAAACCCTCCATGCTGGCCAGAGTAATAATACACATTAAGAAAGAGTCTCTGATGGCACCTGGGATTAAAGTGAACACTGACTGAAAATGCATGGGTGAGAGGAAACAGTGCTACTACTTTCTTTTAGATCATGTACCAAAACAGAGTAAGAATGACCGACTTAGACTTTAAGGCAGCCTCAGAAATGCAGTGTACCTGCCCTGGACTCAGGGGTCTAGGAGACTATCCCGCTTTCAGGTTTCTGTTTGGTTTTCAGTAGTCCCCAATCGTCTTTTTGGAAGTAATGCTCAAGCCCACAAAATGTATGTATAAGAGAAAAAGAGTTTTTGAGAACATTCACCCCAAATCTGACTGCAAATGGTACTTTGGAGTCACTTTTCCTTAGTTTTTCCTATCTTTGCGATGAATACTTAGAAGAAATATCTTAGTTCCTTGGAACTAGAGAGCTTTAAATAAAAACCCTGCTTCCCTTTTCTATGATACTATAGCATCATCCTCAGATTTTCCCTCATTTAAGAGCTAGAGAGTGCAAAAGGAATGAAATGCTAGAACTATCAAGTACATATGTTTTGCAGCAAGTGGTGAATGGTGCGTTTTACCTGACAAAGTGTAAGTTTTTTGATGCTGAGGGACAACAGCACCACTTTAGTTCTTCCTCTGAAGTAGGAAGTAGCTGAAACTATTTTTATGTGATTTTTCTGCTGCTTGTGTGTAAGTGGTGTTTTCTTTATCAGTGAGGACAACAGGTTGTAAATCTTGAAGTGCCATGCAGCATAAAATACGTACTTGACTTCTTATCAAGAGCCAGGGTGCAAGTGCTTTAAGGTAGAATATGCTTTCCTCTTCTCCCATTCTCTATACCAACTTCCACCTTATTACAAACATGCTATTACAAGGCCTATGCATTCTTATAACCATACCAATTCCACAGGGCCCACATTTCACTCTTAGGATTTAAGTGTTCAGATACTCCATGATGATTTCCTGCAAGGATGTGACTTTAAATCACTATGCCTACAATATATATCCATTGGGGAAAAACCTCTTTTCTGACTAACCTTAAAATCGTGTCTGTCTTAGGAAAAAGTGAGTTGTGAGTTCATTGGATTTCCTAATAAACATTTTCAATGCTTATTTACTGTGTAGGCATAGATCACCCAGTGCTTTGCACTGGAGCAGAGTTCAGATCTCACTTTGTTTCCAAGGGAAAAGAAACCTCCTCTACTAGAATAGCTGATACCAATAGTGGGAGGAAGGTTTTTGTATGCTAAAAAGGACTTGTGTCTGCAAGCTTTTTTCCTGCTAGTGAAAACAGTTGATCTAGGAGAAAATACTACTTCTTCCTGCAGTTCTCATTTTATCCTTAGACCATACTACTACAACAGCAGTAGTGTTACCATACTTTGTCTGTCCTGGAAGTGCGAGCAAAACAAACTTGTAATGCTTTGGAGATGAATTCTTATCCTGCTTTAGGCCTTCACACTGCTATTTATCTGCAGTTGGTGCTCCCCTGGAAGTCAGTTGTGCTTGGACTGACAACTTTATAGGCTTTCCCATAACACTGTCCCTAGAGGACAAAGACTTTTCTCCAGTTCACTACCTGTCATAGTGAAAGCCAGATGAGTATGTTCTGCTACCACAACACTGGAGCATTTGAGGAGCTCTAAACAGCCTTGGGGTCCTCTACTGCTTTCAAGACGTTTTCTCCCCAGTAAGAAGAGTGTGAATTCAGTAGCTGACTGTGGTCAGAACATGGCTCTGAGTTTAGCTTGTAATGTCCTGGTGCTGCAGCAGCCTTCAGAAAAGTAGCTGTCTGCTCCACAGATGTGAGGCCAGTGCAACCTGCACTTTGTTTTTCTTCAGAGACACTGGCTGAAAGATCTCGTGGTCTGAGGATGCAAATCACCACCAAGCCTTCCTGCAAAAGCTGCCAATCTAGTACCGATTTTGTAGCATGGCATTGCAAGGACCTCAGGTTTTCACATCTATTTATGTAGTTTGACTATTCACGGCCTTTCAAATACATCTGTCTTCTGAGTGCCCAAATGCCACAGGGGATGGTTTGGCTTTGTGAAAAGACATGGAAAAAATGGAAATAAAGCAGCTTCCCTAAAGGCTTATTTATAAGATACACTGCTGCTTGTGACCTGTTAACCATGGAGGAGATAATTTATCCTGGTGTTTGACATATATGAAGATACCACCCCTGTTCTTTGCCAGCATCAAAAGGCAAGATGCATTCAGAGATCTACAGCCCAAGATCCATGCAGAGATTATCAACTGCTCCAGATTAAACACATCTGGCATCACTGGGACCAAACTGGATATTGTATTACCCTTTTTTTCATCCTTTTTATTCTTGCATGCATATACAATAGTTCACTTGAAAAACAAAACACTGAAATAAAAACAGCACATATTTTTCCCGCTGAAGTGGTCTACCTGATAATAAAATTCAAGTACTTCTTTCTGAAAGACATTTTAGAAAGGATCAAAGTTACAATAGGAGAAGAAAGATTCACTCTGGCCTTTTCAAGAGCACTTGGCTGGCACCTAATTTTACTACATTTTGGTGGGAACAGAGCTAAGACATTGTCACAGTCCAGAGCAATTTCACTCATAAGCATGGGTAGATTTCCTGGTGAATATTTAAGGGTGTTGCTGCCCCTCTCCTGCGTCCTTGCTAGATTACAGGCTAAATTGTGGCCAGGTCTCTGCTCTGCTTCCTACAAACATTATAGGTGCAATCGTCTCTGTGTAAATCCTTTTGTGGATCTGGGCCCGAGTGTTTTTGAAAATCCCACCCACATGGGACACCCGTAGGTCAAATGAGAAATTACATAAGCTATTAACTAAAGCTATAGTTTATAAAAAGTTACCCACAAGAAAGGTACACAGGTTAGTGCTGCTCCAGGGCATCCTTAAATCACACTTCAGTAAGTTATAAAGTTATCTTTGGAGAGCAATCATACCAAGTTGTCAGCCCTATAAGGATAGATTTATGTGTCTCTGACATGTCAGTTGTCATCTTTGCCACTTCGTTGCGGCTATGATATTTCAGCAGGAGGTAACCACTGCTATTCCCCTGCTTGAAAATCCACAGAACTTTCCTCTGTAAACATTTCTTACCCTGTGTATTTCCCCATCACAGGGCTGCACCTCTGAATTCATCTATGTGTTTGCTTAACTCTCACTCACAGGTCACTGCTTGTTTGTCTCAAATTTTTCTCTTTTTAATCTCAAT